AAAAGGGCAAAGATGAACAATGAACTGAGAACAAAGAAAATGTTATTTTAGAGCCCGAAATGTCTGCATTGTCATTCCCTGGACCCTATTCGAAATTGTCATATTTTTTTAATTTTCGTGAAATTGGCCAAATTGCAAATTTTCTGACCACGTTATAGGTAGTTGAAATCAGTAAATAGGCAGTTTCTTGTACTCATTCATAGAAAAAAAATGGACTTCTAAAGAAATAGCTATGAGTTTGGTCAAATGGAGCAATGGAATTAGCCAAAAATAGGGCTTAAAGTGGGTGAAATTGACGATTCATAAATATCGCCGAGGTCGCTAACTTTGCGAGAGCGTAATTCCTTCAGCTTTCCATCAAATTTCATTCTTTTGGTGTCATTACAATCTCTTTCATTTCATAAGAATTTTTTTTTTTTTTTTTTTTTTTTTTTTTTTTTTTTTTTTTTTTTTTTTTTTTTTTTGGGACACCAGGAGACACCTCAGGATTTGGGGTTGCAACAATCAAAGGGTTAATTGAAGTTCTCTTTATTTTATAAAAATTAAACCTGGCTTTTTTTAACACCAGCCATCTCCCACTGAGGCAGGGTGACCTTAAAAAAACAAGTTTTTCTTTTTATATGTAGTAATTTTTATAGGAGAAGGGGTTACTAGCCCCTTGCTCCCTTAAACTATTATTTTATCAAACACTAAATTGTATGGGTCATACAGGGAGGGAGGGGGTGTGTGTGATAGGGGTTAAAGAAATGACAGGATTTACCATATTTTGCGGCTTATGAGACTTGTTTTAGTTTCAATGGCTCGGCATCGGACATAACTGGGAGAGCTACAGCCCACCCCACACCCCAAACTTATAGCTCCCGTCACTGACCTTTAGTTTATAGGACGCAAAGTGGTTTTTGGAGACATTTTATGGAAAAAAAATGCATCTAATGAGCCATGAAATATGGTATATATGTGTTATTGTTCAGTATAATTTTTTTTTAATTTATTATTTCATCTACATGTTTATTGAGATTTTAATGTTTCCTGTGTCTACCCCTCTGTGCTTCTATTTTAATTATATCATGTAAAATTTAATATTTTCTTTTAAAATTTTGTATAGTTGTACCTTGCCTGGGTTGTACCATGCTTATCCAAATGAAACATCCATTAAAAATTTGATTTTGGAAAATAAATCATAAATAGTCTTATGGCTTCTTCTGTTGCATAAAATGTTTGTGTTATAAAAATATACCTTGTATTTACCAGCATGTATGAGGTTGAATTTTACTTGTAGGATATTGTTAAAGATAGCATTTTAGTTTAATTTAAGGGTACTAATAAACTTTTATATCTCAAGTTGAAATAACTCTCCATTTGTTTCTACTGCAGTGGCTGATTGTGATCTGTGCCTGCGAAAGGAGGACTGGGATGTGAGGTGAGAAAGTAGCTTTTTTCTTATGTTACTTTTAAATATTATGTTTACAGCTTATTTAAAAAAAATCTTGTTTTGTTGAATTTTTATTTTCTCTTAAAGATCAAAAATTCTTTATTTCAGCACAATACAATGTTTGTACAACGATGGGCAACATTGAGGTGTGTATGCAGAAAGTCCTTATTATTCACATTTTCCTCATCTTTTATGGAGTGGTTTTTCAGTGTATGTAAGCCTTAAGATGTATTATATATGTAGGATATCCAAAAGAGAGAGGGAGGGGGTAAAGGAGGTTTTTGGGGTTGAGGAGGCTTGGACATCCAGCAAGCATGCATGAGCACGTTAGATAGGAGGGAATGGAGATGAATGGTTTTTGGAACCTGATGAGCTGTTGGAGTGTGAGCAGGGTAATATTTTGTGAAGGGATTTGGGGAAACAGGTTAGCTGAACTTGGAAGTACTTCCCACTTCCCCTGGAAGTGGGAAGTACAATGCCTGCACTTTAAAGGAGGGGTTTGGGATATTGGCAGTTTGGAGGGACATGTAAACTGTTGTATCTGAGTGCCTCTGCAAAGACAGTGATTATGTATGAGTGATGTTGAAAGTGTTGAATGATGAAGTTTTTCTCTTTCTTTTTGGATTTTTCTTTCTTTTTGGGTCACCCTGCCTTGGTGGGAGATGGCCGACATGTTAAAAAAATCCAAAAGAGAAGAGAAAAAGTTTGTAATAATATAACTGCATTACGCAAATAAACCACACAGAGGAGAGAGAAGCTTATGGTGATGTTTCTGTCCTACTTGGACCATTTATAAGTCACACTAACATTAGTTAGTATTCTTTTTTTTATTAACACATCAGCCGATTCCCACCAAGGCAGGGTGGCCCAAAACAGAAAAACTTTCATCATCATTCACTCCCTCACTGTCTTGCCAGAGGGGTGCTTTACACTACAGTTATAAAACTGCAACATTAACACTCCTTCAGAGTGTAGACACTGTACTTCCCATCTCCAGGACTCAAGTCTGGCCTGCCGGTTTCCCTGAATCCCTTCATAAATGTTACTTTGCTCACTCTCCAACAGCACGTCAAGTATTAAAAACCATTTGTCTCGATTCACTCCTATCAAATACGCTCGCACACGCTTGCTGGAAGTCCAAGCCGCTTGCACACAAACCCTCCTTTACCTCCTCCCTCCAACCCTTCCTAGGCCAACCCCTACCCCACCTTTATACCCTCTTGAAGTCATTCTGTTTTATTCCATTCTCTCTTCATGTCCAAACCATCTCAACAACCCCTCCTCAGCCCTCTGGATAATAGTTTTGGTAATCCCACACCTTCTCCTAATTTCCAAACTACGAATTCTCTGCATTATGTTCACACCACACATTGCCCTCAGACATGACATCACTGCCTCCAGCCTTCTCCTCGTTGCAACATTCATCACCCTTGCTTGACACCCATGCAAGAGTGTTGCTACAACTATACTCTCATACATTCCCCTCTTTGCCTCCACGGACAAAGTTCTTTGTCTCCACAGACTCCTAAGTGCACCACTCACCCTTTTCCCCTCATCAGTTCTATGATTCACCTCATCCTTCATAGACCCATCTGCTGACACATCGACTCCTAAATATCTGAATACATTCACCTCCTCCATACTCTTTCCCTCCAATCTGATATCCATCTTTCGTCACCTAATCTTTTTGTTATACTCATAACCTTACTCTTTCCTATATTCACTTTCAATTTCTTCTTTTACATACCCTACCAAATTCATCCACCAACCTCTGCAACTTCTCTTCAGAATCTCCCAAAAGCACAGTGTCATCAGCAAAGAGCAACTGTGACAACTCCCACTTTGTGTTGATTCTTAATCTTTAATTCCACACATCTTGCCAAGACCCTCGCATTCACTCTCTTACAACCCCATCTATAAATATATTGAACAACCACGGTGACATCACATATCCTTGTCTAAGGCCTACTTTTACTGGGAAATATCTCCCTCTCTCCTACATACTCTAACTTGAGACTCACTGTCCTCGAAAAAACTCTTCACTGCTTTCAGTAACCTACCTTCTATACCATACACCCGCAGCATCTGACTTGTAAATGGTCCGAGTCAGACCAAAAATCTAAAATCTAAAACTTATAAAATCACCCTGAACTTTTAAACCATTGAATGGGTAACTGGCATCATATCACTTGTAATAGTACTTGGTAGTACAGATTCTGCTCTGTTCAAGGATGGGTGAAGGGAATGCTACAGTCAGAAGGTCATTTGAAATTGTGATATCCAAAAACTTCTGGCAAGACAGTTATTTATTGAGTGATGGTGAATATGCTTCCTTCTTTCAATCATCTTGCCTTTGTAAGAAGTGGCTGAGTTGGTAAAATTTTAGATGTTAAAGTTAGAATGAAAAACGCTTGCCAAATTAAGTAAAACAAGACCTAAGCAAAGACCATAACACTGTATCTACCTCATGTGCTGGGAAAAAAGATAGGATGGATAATGAAAACCCTTTCAAAACTAGGGACGCCAGCCCATGATAAATCTCTTCAAATCGCTTGTGCCCCTTTAGGCTGAAAAACTGCTGTACACTAATGGCCCCCTTCAGGGTGGCAGCATTGCAGACCTGGAGAGTGTACGAAGAACTTTCCCAGGCACTAAGTACGATAAGGCACCTAAACTACTGGAAATGGTTGAAGGTCCTTGATCTGTATTCCCTTTGAACACAGGCAGAGAAAATACGTGAAATATACACTTGGAAGGTCCTGGAGGGATGGCACCAAACCTCCACACGAAATCACTCCCTATGAAAGCAAAAGACTTGCAGGAGATGTAACATTCCCCTGATGAAAAGCAGGGCTCCAATAGTACATTGAGAGACAACACATGAAGTGTCCGGGGCCCAAGACTTTTTCAGTTGCCTCCCAGCATACCTAAGGGGATTACCAGTAGACCCCTGGCTGTCTTCAAGAAGGCCTGGACCAGGCACCTAAAGTCAGTACCTGACCAACCGGTGTGGTTCGTACGTCGCTTCCCATGCAGCCAGCAGTAACAGCTTGGTTGGCCCAGACCCTGATCCACCATGAGGCCTGGCCCTCAACCAGGCTGGGGAGCATTGACCCCCAAAACCCCTCTTCAGGTAAATTCCAGGTAAGGTGAGCCTTTCAGAGAATTGTTGCCTACAAAAGGCTTTCTTTGGTAAGTAACTTGTTGTCTTCCTGAAGTAAAGCTCTGCTTTTGGGTTGGGTGAGTAGGTAGTTTGAAAGTTGCTTGTGTAGTTAGGTATGTAAGTATTTCCCATTCTGAATGGGAAGATTTCAGTAACAAATCTCTGTTGGCTGAGAAAACAGTTTATCGGGTGAAAAAAGTGTAAACAATTTTTTGACAGTGCCTTCACTATGAAAATATTTGCAGCCTTGGTGTTCAAATTACCCCGCAAGGCTCAAAAACTCAGTCAAACAGGAATCATCAGCTGGATAATTCTGCGAAAAAAAATTTGACAAAATGCTCTTGGTTCAGCGCCCCAGAACAGGTATGACACTCGGATTTTAATTTGTCACTTTTCTGCAATTAAACACAAGTACAGACAGTGTCCTAAGAAAAGGTTATGCCTTAACAGGCAGAGTTTGGGGAGGGAGTTCTAAATACCCCGGTGGCCCTGATTAAATCTACCTGAAAAAATTTTATTAGGTTAAATCTGTTAAAATGCTGGTAAAACCTGTTAAAACCTCTTATTCCTGGACATTTCATTGTAAAACCAATATTAATTTGTAATAATTAATTTATGTTTTTACCCTTTTAAAACACACCAGCCATCTTCCACCAAGGCAGGGGACCTAAAAAAAGAAAAGCAAAAGTGTTCTTTTTATGTTTAGAAATTTATACAGGACATTAGTTTATTTTTTTATACATTTTAAAAAACCCTTGATTAAAGCAGGGGAATTTTGGGCAGACAAAACTAGAACATGAAGCTACTTGACTATGTATAGTTAAATGGAAATTATTTTAACGACATATTTAATATTATTTTTAACACTGAGGTAAAGGGGGACCCGAAAAAAAAGAAGCATTTTCCCTTTATCAGTCTCATCATTATACCATTGTTACTACTGAAAGCACTTTATTTATATTACAGGTTTGTTAGCCAATTTATGGGAGTTTCCTAGCATAGGCCTTGTCAGAAAATGGTGCTCAAGACAAAGATGTGACTGAGGAACTAGTGAGCCCAGTTTTCTCTACCACACACTGCTGCTTCTTCGAGAACTTTTGTTCTGATGTTATCCATATTTTCTCACATATTAGGCAGACATACAAGTAAGAAAATGTTTTTTCTCATAGATGTTTCAAAAAATGCATAAGAAAGCCGCTTAAAAGTCGTCTAACTCTTAAGCAGTTTTTGCATACTATGACTTTCTTTTGTGCCTACCAATATTTTTTTTTCACGCAAAACTGCATTATTTTTTCTACCACAATAAGAAATAAAAATTTGAATTTGAATGCTGTTCACATTCTACAACCAACTAACAATTTAGAGAGAAAACTTTAAATGTCATTTTAACCCCATACTTGGCAGGTTGTTCTCAGCCATCTCAACTCGTATGGTTTTCTTATCTATTACTTAAAGCTACCTGTACTATTGAATATCCTACTCAGCTGTTCCCACTCATATTTATCATATCTATGTGTTTTTATGGTAGTAGGGGTTGGTAGACAGCAGCCATCCAGGGGTACTACCGTCCTGCTAAGGAGTGTGAAACGAAAGCCTGTACAGTGGAACCTCAAAAATCAAACGTATCCATATATCGAATGTTTTGAAAATGGGATCTTTTTTTTGGACAAACTGTGTCCCTATTATCGAACGCACCCCTATTTTCGGACCGCCGGTACGGGACCTGTCTGCCGCCCACTCTGTCCGCGTCCCCGCGCAGGCGCCGTGAGCAGTCTAGCTTTTGTTTACTTGAGTGGACACTAACCTGCACTTCATTCATGCATTTTAACGATTATTTCATTGTGTTTAGTGTTTGGGGGGGACTGTGAAATAAGCTGCCATGGGCCAAAGAAACTTGCTATGGTACCCCTGGGGGTAAAGAAAGTGAGAAACACCATAGATTGTGAAGAAGGAAATTTAATACAGAAGTATGAGAGTGGTGTGGGGACTTGTTGAGCTTGCCAGGATGTAGGAAAAAAACAAGTCGACCATGGTTTTCTATCCTGTCAAAGAGAGAACAAATCAAGGAAGCTAATGTTGCGAAAGGTGTTAATATGGGGAGGGGATGAGGCGCCTTCTTAAAAGATTAAGGAGTTTTGTGCCAAGTGGAATGATGTCCCAAATGTTTGGGCAGAAGTACCACCCTGAGCAAGCTGAAACAAGCCATCTTTGCAACAAGTTCAGTGACAAAACCCCATGTCCCATTTTAGGGAAATGTTAAAGAGGCACCAGAAACAGAGGACTGTTTACTTTATTTTGGGTGAGACAGGGGTCGGTGACTCTCAAGTGGTCCTAGTGGCTTTAAAAGACAGAGAAGGGAAGTAAACCCCAGAGAGGGCTTTAAACCTGAAGTCCTCATGGAGAGGGATTCTCCTTCCAAACACAAACCCCCAAAACTCCCTCTCTTCCTCCTCCCTATCTTCCAGATGCCATCACCAATCTTCAATAAAGGTAATTTAAAAATGTTATTTTTATTTTATTACTATACATAATTAAAACAATAGTATTTGTTGTATGTAAAACTTTAATTAATCTCTATAAAATGTATTTTTTGTGTGAATATTTTTGGGTTTTTTAAAATGGATTAATTGTATTTCCATTATTTCTTTGGGAAATATTGCTTTCGAATTTCAGACTTTTCGAATTTAGAACTAGCTCCTGGAACGGATAAGTTTGATTTTTGAGGTTCCACTGTAATTGTTTTAACATGATGGTGGGATTGCTGGTGTCTTTTGTCTTGTCTCATAAATATGCAAGATTACAGGTACGTACCGTCTTGCTACTTCTACCTACACTTAGGTCACATTGCACATACATGTACTGTTTTATTTATACACAACCAACTGAGTTTTCTTTGATTTTATTCTTAATAGTTCTTGGCCTTATTATTTTTTCCCTTTTAATTCCAGGGGGGAAGTGGAATAAGAATCTTTCCTCCGTAAGCCATGCGTGTTGTAAAAGTCAGCTAAAATGCCGGGAACAATGGCATAGAAACCCCCCTTTTCCTTTAATAAATTATTAAAAAGAATAAGAAGAGGAAAATTGTCAAAGTGGGAAGTCTGAATGTGTGTGGATGTTGTGCAAATGATAATAAAGAGATGATTGGGGATGTTATGAATGAGAAGCTAGATGTCCTGGCTTTAAGTGAAACAAACTGAAGGGGGTGGGAGAATTTCATTGGAGAGGAATAAATGGGTTTAGGTCAGGGGTTTTCAAATAGAGTTAGAGCTAAAGGAGCAGCAATAATGTTGAAGGATAAGTTACGGCAGGGAAAAAGGACTAAAAATGTAAAAATTCAAGGATTATGTGGAGTAAAATAAAGGTTGGATGTGAAAAGGGGGTTATAGTAAGCATATACACCTGGAGAAGAGAGAAATGTAGAGGAGGGGAGAGAGTTTTGGGAATGTTGAGTGAATGCATGGGGAGTTTTGAACCAAGTGTGGGGAGTAATGGTGTTGGGGGATTTCAGTGCTAAAGTGGGCAAAAATGTGTAGAGGGAGCAGTAAGTAGGAAATTTGGGGTGCCAGGGGTAAATGAAAAGGGGGAGCCTTTAATTGAGCTATGTGTGAAAGAGGTTTTGGTAATAAGTAATACATATTTTATGAAAAAGAGGATAAATATACAAGGTATGATATAGCACGTAATGAGAGTAGTTTCTTAGATTATGTATTGGTGGATAAAAGGGTTGATGGGTAGGCTCCAGGATGTAAAACGTTTATAGAGGGGCAACTGATATATCGGATCATTATTTAGTTGTAGCTAACAGTTTGACTAAGAGGTAGATGGAAAAGGGGAAAATGGCAACAAACAAGCAAGAGGAGGTGAAAGTGTATAAATAAGGGAGGAGGAAGTTCGGTGAGATACAAGCAAACTATTGGCAAAAAGGTGGGCTGGTGCAAGTATGATATGGGGGGGTAAAGAGGGTTGGAATAGTTTTAAAAATGCAATATTAGAATGTGGGGCAGAAGTTTGTGGTTATAGGAGAGTGGGGCAGGAGGAAATAAAGGAGTGATTGGTGGAATGATGAAGTAAAGGGCGTAAAAAAGAAAAAAAGTTAGCTTATGAGAGGTTTTTACACAGTAAAATTTTAAAAAGAAGAGTAGAGTATATGGAGAGTAAAAAAAAGGTGAAGAGAGTGGTGAGAGAGGCAAAAGGAGAGCAGATGATAGAGTGGGAGGGGCACTGTCAAGAAATTTTAATGAAAATAAAAAAAAATTTTGGAGTGAGTTAAACAAGTTAAGAAAGACTAGAGAACGAATGGATTTGTCATTTAAAAAAACAGAGTAAGGGAGTTAGTAGATGGGGAGATGGAGGTTTTGGTAGATGGCGAGAATATTTTGAGGACATTTTAAATGTTGCCCGAAGAAATGGAAGCGGTAATTTCATGCACTGGCCAGTAAGGTATACCATCTTTTAGGAGTGAGAAGAACAGGATGTGAGTGTGGGGGAGGTGCATGAGGCATTACATAGAATGAAAGGGGATAAAGCAGCGGAACTGAGGGGATCATGACAGAAATGTTAAAAGCAGGGAGGGATATAGTGTTGGAGTGGCTGATTTTTTGTTTAATAAATGTATGAAAGAGGGGAAGGTACCTAGGGTTTGGGCAGAGAGCATGTATAAGTCCCTTTATATAAAGGGAAGGGGGACAAAAGAGATGGTAAAAATTAAAAGAGGAATAAGTTTACTGGATTACCAGGAAAAAGTTTTACGGTAGGGTTATAATTGAAAGAATTAGGGGTAAGACAGAACGTAGGATTGCGGACAAAGGAAGGAGGTTTCAGAGTGGGTTGGGGATGTGTAGATCAAGTGTTTACATTGAGGCATATATGTGAACAGTATTTAGATAAAGGTAGGGAAGTTTTTATTGCATTTAATGGATTTAGAAAAGGCAATATGATAGAGTGGATAGGGGACAATGTGGAGATTTTTGCAAGTACAGTGGAGCCCCGCATAACGATCACCCCCCAATGCGACCAATTATGTAAGTGTATTTTATATAAGTGCTTTTGTACGTGTATGTTTGGGGGTCTGAAATGGAAACTAATCTACTTCACAATATTCCTTATGGGAACAAATTCAGTCAGTACTGGCACCTGAACATACTTCTGGAATGAAAAAATATCGTTAACCGGGGGGTCCACTGTATATGGAATGGGTGGTAAGTTACTAAATGCAGTGAAGAGTTTTCATGAGGATAGTGAGGCTCAGGTTAGGGTTGTAGAAGGAGGGGAGACTACTTCCCAGTTAAAAGAGGTCTTAGACGGGGATGTGTAATGTCACCATGGTTGTTTAATATATTTATAGAGGGGGTTGTAAAAGAAATAAATGCTAGGTGTTCGGGAGAGGGGTGGGTTAAATTATGGGGAATCAAATACAAAATGGTAATTGACACAGTTGCATTTTTCTGATGTTAACTGTGCTTATGGAGATTCTAATACAAAAATTGCAAAGGTTAGTGGATGAGTTTGGGGAGTGTGTGTAAAGGTAGAAAGTTGAAAGTGAACATAGAAAAGAGTAAGTGATGAGGGTATCAAATGATTTAGATAAAGAAAAATTGGATATCAATTGGGGAGGAGGAGTATGGAAGAAGTGAATGTTTTCAGATCTTGGGAGTTGACGTGTCAGTGATGGATTTATGAAGGATGGGGTTAATCATAGAATTGATGAGGGAAAAAAAGGTGAATGGTGCGTTGAGGTATATTTGGAGACAAAAAAACGTTATCTATGGAGGCAAAGAAGGGAATGTATAAAAGTATAGTAGTACCAACACTCTTATATGGGTGTGAAGCTTGGGTTGAAAATGCTGCAGCGAGGAGGCATTTTAGAGGCAGTGGAGATTCTGTCTAAGGGCAATGTGTGGTGTAAAATTATGCAGAAAATTTGGATTGGGGAAATTAGGAGGTGGGAGTTAATAAAAGTATTAGTCAAGGGCCTGAAGAGGGTTGTTGAGGTGGTTTGGTCATTTAAGGAGTGGAAATCAAAGTAGAATGACATGGAAGCTTTATAAATCTGCAGGGAAAGGAAGGGGGGGTAGGGGTCGTCCTCGAAAACGTTGGAGGGAGGGGGTAAAGGAGGTTTTGTGGGCGGGGGTTTGGACTTCCCAGCAAGCGTGCGTGAGCGTGTTAGATAGGAGTAAATGGAGACGAATGTATTTGGGACCTGACGACTGTTGGAGTGTGAGCAGGGTAATATTTAGTGAAGGATTCAGGGAAACCAGTTATTTTATATGCCGGACTTGAGTCCTGGAAGGGAAGTACATGCCTGAAACTTTTAAAGGAGGATTTGGGATATTGGCAGTTTGGAGGGATATGTTGTGTATCTTTATAGAATATGCTTCTAAGCTTTTGTGTTCGAGCACCTCTGCAAAAAAAATGATTATGTGTGGGTGAGGTGAAAATATCTGAAATATCTGAAAACATTCACTTCTTCCATACTACTCCTCCCCAATTTGATATTCCAATTTTTCTTTATTTAAATCATTGATACCCTCATCACCTTACTTTTTTTCTATTTCACTTTCAACTTTCTCCCTTTTAAACACACACTCCCAAATTCATCCACAAACCCTTTGCATTTTTTGTTTAGAATCTCCCATAAGCACAGTATCATCAGCAAAAAGTAACTGTGTCACTTCCCATTTTGTATTTGATTCCTCATAATTTAATCCCACCCCTCTCCCAAACACCCTAGCATTTACTACTTTTACAACCCCATCTATAAAATATTAAACAACCAATGGTGACATTACAAAATCCCTGTCTAACACCTACTTTTACTGGGAAGTAGTCTCCCTCTTTTCTACACACCTTAACCTGAGTCTCACTATCTAAATACTGTACTGTAATAAACAGTGAATTAATTTAGTGTCCAGTGAGTGGTAATTTTTTCTTCTTTACTTAGGGTCTTTCTGATCTCACTGAGTGGGCCGAGAAAAGTTGACTTGGCCATCAAGATATCAAGGAGGTCAGTGGATGACTAAAGAAGAATTCCTTGCCTCTGCTACATCAACTGCATGAAAAAGGTGCTTTTTCTGTCATTTTATTTTTAAAAAATGTAGAAACAGAAACCATATTTTTATTTCAAAAGCTCTGAGTTACAGTCATAATAAAATTATTCAGGAGTGTCCTGGACATAAATAATAATAATATTTTAAATTTTCGTAGTAGGCAAGCCTGAATGAAAATATTTTATTCTTCTTGTGCAGGTCTTCAATCCATGGAAACTCAGAACAAAAGTGTACGGTGAGTTTATGATAAATGTTTAGCTAGGTTGACTTTCTAGTAGACAAGGAAAAAAATTTAAATTCAATAAATATAACATGTACTATAAAACTTTTTTTAACACAATGGCAATCTTCCACTGGGGTAGGATGAAAATAAAATGAAGCACTAACTATCACTCATTCAATAGCTTTTTTTAAAGGGAAGTACACAGACATCACAGTTCAATGACCCTTGATCTGAACTGCAGCATCTGCACACCTTCAAGTACAGGGCACTCACTTCTCCTCCTCCAGGATTCAAGTTTTTTAGTTTTCTTTAGCCTATTCATAAATTACCTTGCTCACACTTCCAACAATTTTTAACCATAAAATTTCTCAACTCACTCCAATCTAATGTACTCAGTAAAGCCTGCCAATGCTCAAGCCCCTAGCACTCAAAACCCCTGTACCCCATCTCCCCAACCCTTTTCTTGAGACAAACCTATTGATCATCCATACTGCTTCATCCTCTTTAAAAAACCAAACTACCTCAACAACTCAGCCCTCTGTATTATACCTTTGGTAACCTCTCTCTGTAATATTTGAGTCCTGGAGGTGGAAATACAAATGCCTGCACTAGAGGATTTGGGATATTGGTTGTTTGGAGAACATCTAAACTGTCATATATGGCCACCTCTGCTAAGGACAGTGATCATGTGTGAGTGATGGTGAATGTGTTTCCTTTTTTTTGGGTCACCCTCATCGGGGGGAGAACGGCCGGAGTGTTGAAAAAAAAAATTGCTCTCGAACATGACATCTTCACTGCCCTTTGTCTCCTCCTCAGTGTAAATTTAACCCATTCCTCACACCCAAATAAAAATTTGGTGCCATTATAGTCTATTTTTTTTTTTTTTTTTTTTTTCCAACAATCGGCCCCTCTCCCACCGAGGCAGGGTGACCCAAAAAAGAAAGAAAATCCCCAAAAAGAAAATACAATTTATCATCATTCAACACTTTCACCACACTCACACATTATCACTGCTTTTGCAGAGGTGCCAGAATACAACAGTTTAGAAGCATATACGTATAAAAATACACAACATATCCCTCCAAACTGCCAATATCCCAAAACCCCCCCTTTAGAGTGCAGGGATTGTACTTCCCATTTCCAGAACTCAAGTCCGATTATATAAAATAACCGGTTTCCCTGAATCCCTTCACTAAATATTACCCTGCTCACACTCCAACAGATCGTCAGGTCCCATTTACCCTTTGTCTCCATTCACTCCTATCTAACACGCTCACCCCACGCTTGCTGGAACTCCAAACCCCCCGCCCACAACACCTCCTTTACCCCCCTCCCTCCAACCTTTTCGAGGACGACCCCTACCCCACCTTCCTTCCCCTACAGATTTATCCTCTCCATGTCATTCTACTTTGAAACCAATTTTCTCTAAATGACCAAACCACCCCAACAAACCCTCTTCAGCCCTCTTAACTAATACTTTTTATAAATACACACCTTCTCCTAATTTCCACACTCCCAAATTTTCTGCATAATATTTACCCCACACATTGCTCTTAGACAGGACATCTCCACTGCCTCCAACTGCCTCCTTGCTGCAAACATTTAACAACCCAAGCTTCACACCCATATAAGAGTGTTGGTACTTATAGGTGGTTTTTAGGAGGGTGGGTGCAGGAGGAAAAAGGGAGGGGTGATTGGTGGAATGTGAAGTAAAGTGTGAGAAAATAGAGAAAAGGTAGCTTATGAAAGCTTTTTACAAAGCAGAAGTGTTATAAAAGAGTAGAGTATATGGAGAGTAAAAGAAAGGTGAAGAGAGTGATGAGAGAGTGCAAAAGGAAAAGCGGATGATAGAGTGGGAGAGGGACTGTCAAGAAATTTTAATGAAAAAAGAAAAAATTTTTGGAGTGAGTTAAACAAATTAAGAAAGCCTAGGGGAACGAATGGATTTGTCAGTTAAAAAAAGAGTAGGGGAGTTAGTAGATAAAGGGGATGGAGGTATTGGGTAGATGGCGAGAAATATTTTGAGGAGCTTTTAAATGTTGACGAAAGAAAAGGAAGCGGTAATTTCATGCACAGGCCAGGGAGGTATAACCATCTTTTAGGAGTGAAGAAGAAACAGGATGTGAGTGTGGGGGGGGGTGCGTGAGGCATTATGAAATGAAAGGGGGAAAGCAGCTGGAGCGTTGGGATCATGACAGAAGTGTTAAAAGCAGGGGGGGATAAAAGCTTTGGAGTGGTTGGCATTTTTGTTTAAATAAATATATGAAAGGGGAAGGTACCTAGGATTGGCAGAGAGTGTGTATAGTCCCTTTTATAAAATGGAAGGGGACAAAAGAGATTCTAAAAATTATAGAGGAATAAAGTTTTTCTGAATATACCAGGAAAAGTGTATGGTAAAGGGTTATTAATTTAAAGAATTAGAGGTAAGACAGAATGTAGAAATGCGGATGAGGGAAGGAGGTTTTAGAGGGGTAGAGGATAACGTGGATCAAGTATTTACATTTAAGCATAATGTGAACAGTATTTAAGATAAAGGTAGGGAAGTTTTTATTTGCATTTATTGATTTAGGGAAAAGGCATATGATAGCGTGGACAGGGAATCGATGTGGCAGATTTGCAAGTATATGGAATGGTGGGAAGTTACTAAATGCTGTAAAGAGTTGTTATGAGGATAGTGAGGCTCAGGTTAGGGGTGTAGAAGAGAGGGAAATACTTCCCAAAAAGTAGGTCTTAGACAGGGATGTGTAATGTCACCATGGGTTTTTTAATATATTTATAGATGGAGTCTAAAAGAAGTAAGCTAGGGTGTTTGGGAGAGGGTGATTAAATTATGGGGGAAACAAATACAGAATGGGAAGTGACAGTTACTTTTTTGCTGATGTACTGTGCTTATGGGGGATTCTAAAGAAAAACTGCGAAGGTTAGTGGACGAATTTGGGATGTGTGTAAAGGTAGAAAGTTGAAAGTGATCATAGAAAAGAGTAAGGTGATGAGGGTATCAATTGATTTAAGATAAAGAAAAATTGGATATTTAAATTGGGAGGAGGAGTATGGAAAAAGTGAAAGTTTTCAGATATTTGGGGGTTGACGTGTAAGTGGATGGATTTAAAGAAGGATGAGGTTAATCATAGAATTGATGAGGGAAAAAAGGTGAGTGGTGCATTGAGGTATATGTGGAGACGAAAAAGTTATCTATGGAGGCAAAGAAGGGAATGTATGAAAGTATAGTTTAAAACCAACACTCTTATGTGGGTGTGAAGCTTGGGTTGTAAAAGCTGCAGCGAGGAGGCAGTTAGAGGCAGTGGAGATGTCCTGTCTACGGCAATGTGTGGTGTAAATATTATGCAGAAAATTCGGAGTGTGGGAAAATTATGAGAAAAGGTGTGGAGTTAATAAAAGTATTAGTCAGAGGGCTGAAGAGAGGCTGTTGAGGTGGTTTCGTCGTTTAGGGGAGAATGGATCAAAGTAGAATGACATGGAGAGCATATAAATTGTAGGGGAAAAAGGGAAGGGGGGGTTGGGGTCGTCCTCAAAAAGGTTGGAAGGGGGGGTAAAGGAAGTTTTTGGGCAAGGGGCTTGGACTTCCAGGAAGCGTAAGCGTGTTAGATAGGGGTGAATGGAGACAAATGGTATTAGGGGCCTGACGAGCTGTTGGAGTGTGAGAGGGTAAAAAATTTAGTGAAGGGGGTTCAGGAAACCCGGGTTATTTTTATTTTTAGCCAGTCTTGAGTCCTAGAAATGGGAAGTACAATGCCTGCACTTTAAAAAGGAGGGGTTTTTGGGTTATTGGCAGTTTGGCGGGATAGTTTTTGTATCTTTATACGTATATGCTTCTAAAATGTTGTATTCTGAAACACCTCGCAAAAACAGCGTGTGCGAGTGAGGTAAAGTGTTTAATGATATGAAAGTATTTCTTTTGGGGATTTTCTTTCTTTTTGGTCACCCGCCTTGGTGGAATGCCGACTGTTAAAAAAAGAAAAATTTTTGGTTAGCTGAGTGAGTCCTGGGGGGAATACAATGCCTCACTCCGAAAAAGGCGTGGAGATATTTACAGTATTTCAAGGATCTGAACTGTTGTATCATCACGCCGCTGGCAAGACAGTGATAGAGTGAAAGAAGGTTTAAAATTTTCATTTTTGGTCACCCTGCCTTGGTGGGAGATGGGTGTGGTTAAAAAAAAACAGAATTTTAACTAGTCCCTCACACATTAGTTAAATGGCCCTCTGAGTCTTTAACCCAAAAACCCACCCACCACATCAAACCCAAAAAACACCTTTTTAACAAATTTTTAAAAAAAAAAAGAAATTTACTTTTTACATAAACATTAAACCTAAACATCCAAAAAAAAAATATATACTTTACTGTTTTAATGGGTTAAAGAATTATTTTCTTTTCTCATTAGCATAAACAATGCTTGGGTGAGTGGTAAACACCCAAAGCCTGAAAACAGCTTGTAAAGAAGCTCTCTATAATCCTTGATATTTCTATATTAATATTGTATTACTGATTTGGATTAGTTTAAACATTACATAATTTTCCAGCATACATTAATGTAGCTAATTCTATTTATTGTGTAGTAAGGTTTGCAAAGTATTACAACAGATGATGTAAGAACTTATGCAAGTTATAGCTTTTGTCATTAATAAAAACAGTTACATCCAACTTACGACCGACTTGGTTCCGACCAAACCAGTTCATTATCAAAATGGACTTAAGTTGAAACCTTGCTCTGAAATCAAACTAACATTTTGTAATGAACTTTATTTTTATTGTTTTATTTTGGTATT